AAGAGCGCTGACCTTTTGTTGCAGTTTTTCTGTTTCCATTTGTGCTTGTTTCTCAGAATACTTGTCATCTGGCTTCATTGATAATGTCAACTTATGCTGATTATTCTGCAACAACATCCACAGCAATAAAAGAGCCAAATTAAAACAAGATGTTACTAAAGCCGGACATGCGGAACCAGCCTCTCTGCCTGTGTGCTCTTGGTCCCGAGTCCCACATTCCATTTCAAATTGTGAGGACAGCACTCATCCAAAGAATGTCTTGGAGAGAGTATGTGAACCAGATAAAATTCTTGCAATCATACCTGCTTTGGAGAAATTACATAATTCATATATGCTGTTACTACTATTAGTGTAGTAACAATAATTTAAACTGTTACTACAGGGGTTTAAATTATTGTTAACTAACAATAATTTAACTAATATTGTTAGTTAACAATTTAAATTATTAGATTATTGTTATGATGTTGCAACCATAAATGTATTAATACTCAACATTTTCTTTACATCTTGGTTGTAGAAGGAAACTGTTTACACTTTCTAATATAAATTTTTAACTTCAGTCTACATTGAAGACAATTAGAAAAAAATTAATTTTTATCTAGTCCTCATTATACTATTAATCTCTCAAAGGCTGAATCTTCATTCAACATATTATAAATTATGACAAAATAGACATCAGCTTAATGTAAAAATGTTAGGTGACTTAACGTGTTTCCTTATTCATTTCAACAACTGAAAGCACTAGCACACAAAATGCTCATGTGTATGTAATACCACAGAGAAGTGGGAGAATTAAAAAAAACCTTTATGCAAAATAAATTATAATAACTTAGAGAGATTGAAGGTCAAATGACCAAATCATGCCCCATAACCAAAACACTGGCACCTAGTAGAGCAATCAGCCTTCACAACAGACCCCCACCATGATCAGGGTCTCGCTAGAAGTTCTACCATATTGACAACTATCTACCAGGGAATTTACAACAAGTAGAAATGCCCAGAAATCTACAGAAATAAGGAGCAAGCATCAAAAGAATCCTTTATAAAAATAACCAGATTATTCACACATGTAGGTGACTCGTTCTCATAATCTGTATGTTCTATTAACAAATGTGCATATGTTTTGTTAATACATACACATACAAATACTCATACATAAAAACATAACACATAGTCAAATCACATCTGAATCTGGAAAACCGAGTTTTTAAGTTAATATGAGCATTAAAATTCTGATTAATAATTAAGAAATCATGTCACCTATTTATTAACAGAAATTTATTTATGTAATGTAGATTATGTTCCCAATGTTCCTTTCATTATAAAATTCTATTTAAGAATAAACTTAAATTCTCTAATTTTCTTACCTTAAAATATTGTTTCACTTTCTCTTGCAAAAACTTTGGATTGTCCTTAAGGCGCTGCCTGAACTGAGCCACCTGACTTCCCAGCTTCAGGAGCTCCACAGGGTCCCCATCGTGGTTCCAGCAGGAAGCTATGTACTGGAGCAGGGGTTTAAATCCACAGAGCATGTTACACAATGAACTCCACATCAGTTCAGTAAAAATCAAAGGCAGGGCATTTTATTAAAATCTGTTTCTATGTTTAAAAAATACCACAGATGACTAATTATAATGAAAATTAAGTCATTCTTTGATTAAAAGAAGAAAAAATTAATTTTAAACCTTTTTGTCCCTAAAAATTTTTTTTTTAAAAAGCACAGGTTTAAAACTATTTTTAGAAAATATAATTACCAACAGATCAATACTTATCAATTCCTTTAAAGTGGTCTGAATAAATCTATTTTACATATAAACATAAAATACAAAAAAAAAAAGCCAATTGAGCAACCTAGTAAAAAGACAAACTAAATTAAAAGTAAAGTTATATCAGATGCAAATTAGCATAACTTTCAAGGTTCAAGGGAAAGTTTCTATGAATTGCAATTATACAGTATTTTTAAGAACCACTAATTCCAAAGTAACAAAAAAAAGAAAAACAGGAGGTGGCTGAGAAATTACACACAGAGGTCAGGGCGAGTCCAAAGCTGACAGACTGATGCTTCATTTGTATTTCAATTTTATGAAGTAAAGCTTCAATTCGATCATCTTCAAATCCTTTCCTAAAGAAATATTGAAAACGGAGATGTTGAAAGAAATATTTCTTAATACAAAGCTGCAATAATCAAAACAGCATGGTATTGGCAGAAAAACAGACATACAGCCCAATGGAACAGAACTGAGAGGCCAGAAATAGACCCACATGTATATGGGCAATTAGTTTTTGACAAAGGAGCCAAAAATACACAATGGAGAAAGAAAAGCCTCTTCGATAAACTGTGCTGGGAAAATTGGAAAGTCACATGCAAAAGAATAAACTAGACTGCTATCTGACACCATACACAAAAATTAACTCGAAATGGGTTAAAGACCTAAATATAAGACATGAAACAATAAAATACATAGCAGACCCCTAGCCGGTTTGGCTCAGTGGATAGAGCATTGGCCTGCAGACTGAAGGGTCCCAGGTTCAAGTCTGGTCAAGGGCACGTACCTTGGTTGTAGGCTCCCAGCCCTGGTCAGGGGTATGCAGGAGGCAACCAATCGAGGTGTCTCTCTCACATTGGTGTTTCTCTCTGTCTCTCCCTCTCCCTTCCTCTCTCTTTAATAATCAATGGAAAAAATATCCTCAGGTGAGAATTAAAAATAAATCAATAAAGTAATAAAATACATAGCAGAAAACAGAGGTACTAAATATATAGACCTTGGTCTCAGAGAGGACTTTATGAACTTGACCCCAAAGCAAGGGAAGTAAAACTAAAAATAAATGAATGGGATTGTATCAAACTAAAAAGCTTCTGTACTGTAAGAAACCATCAACAGATCAAAAGACAACCAACTGAATGGGAGGAGATATTTGCAAAACAATACCTTCAATAAACGGCTAATACTCAAAATATATAAAAGATTCATACAACTACACACACACACGCAAGTCAATCCGATTAAAATATGGGCAGAGGGACCTGATCAGACACTTCTCCCAAGAAGACATACAGCTCTGCCCATGTTCGTAGGTTGAGCATTAGCCTATGAACCAGGAGGTCATGGTTCAATTCCCAGTCAGGACACATGCCTGGGTTCGATCCCCAATAGAAGGTGTGCAGGAGGCAACTGGATCAACGATTCTCTCTCATCACTGGTGTTTCTATCTCTCTCTCCCTCTCCCTTCCTCTCTGAAATAAAAAATATTTTTAAAATAATAATAAAAAGTCAAAAGGAAAAGGACAAGAACTGTATGATTTCACTCAAATGGGGGATATAAAATAAAAAGCAACAAAGGAACAAACAAACTCATAGACACAGATAACAGTGTGGTGGTTACCAGAGGAGAAAGTGGGCGGGGAGAGGATGACAAGGATAAAGGGGGTCAAATACATGGTGATGGGAGGAGATTAACTTTGGGTGATAAGGTCACCACCAAGAGAGCAAAAAGTCAAGCCATATGATGGGAGAAAATATTTGCAAACCAGGTTATCTGATAAGGGCCTTGAATACAGAATATTTAAATAACTTTCACAATCATAGAATTAAAAAAACACATAATCCAATTAAAAAACGGATCAAGAATTTGAATACACATTATTCCTAAGAAGATACACAGTGGCCAGTAAGCAAATGAAAAGATGTTCAACATCACTTATCATTAGGGAAGTGCAAATCAAGACTTCTTCAGCCCTAGCCAATTTTGCTCAGTAGTTAGAGCATCGGCCTATGCTGAAGGGTCATGGGTTTGATTCTGGCCAAGGGCACAAACCTCGATTGCAGGCTTGATCCCTGGCCCTGGTCCAGGTGCATGCGGGAGGTAACCAACTCATGTATCTCTATCACATCAATGTTTCTCTCTCTGTCTCTCCCCATCCCTTCCACTCTCTCTAAAAATCAATGGAAAAAAATAACCTCAGTTGAGGATTAACCAAAAAAAAGTAGGCTATTTCAAATCCACCAGGATGGATATAATAATCATAAACCAGAAAATTAGTGGAAGATCTGTAAGAATTTGATTATCCTAAACATAAGACAATTTGGAGCTCTCATAAATGTTGGGTGGGGTTTAACTTGGTGCAGTGACTTTGCAAAACAATTTGATTTAAAAATTCTTCAAAAAATTAAATATAGAGGTACCACTTGACCCAGAAATTCCACTCTGGGTTATCTAGCCAAGAGAAAAGAGAACATGTCTCCACACAAAAGCTTATACATACTAGTAAATGTTCATAGCAGCATTATTCATCCAGCCTCCAAAAATAGTGGAAACCACCCCAATGTCTATGAAGTGATGAATGGATAAACAATGTGGTATGTAACACATGGAATATTATTTAGTAATAAAAATGGCTGACGTACTAAAACAAATGTTTTTGCAACAAGAGAGCAGAGATAATATTTAAGCAACTAAGTGTGAGATTTTGTAGAGATGGCCAATAATGGAGAAGGCTGGACCTTGCTGTAAAGTGTTTAGGAACTGAGAAGGCTAGCAAATTGGTGCAGAGGGTCATACGTACATGATGACATCGTCAATGGTCCTGTCGATTATGTCTCGGACCATCTGAATGTCCTTCTCGGCGATCCCCTGCAGGCCCACACTGAAGTAGGCCTCCCGTGTGTAGCCATTGTATCTAGAAGAGGAAAGGTGATCATGCATCACAGTCCGTATGGCTTCCATCACTCACTCACCATGCACTTCTTCATTTCAAGATCAAATATACTGCAGAACAGAGCTAAGAACATTAAACTCCCAAGTCCTCCAGGACAAAGCAATGAAAGCTGTATCCTCACATACCTGTTTCTCAGACATAATTGATCACAGTGACACCACACCTTTTTAACATTTCTAAACATCACTACAACTTAAACTTTAGAGTTATTGCAAAATAAACCTAAAAATAGAGAACTGCTCAGTTTTACAAAACCTTAAGATTTCTAACAATATTTAACAACCTGACTTTTAAAATAGATACCAGTATGCCATTCTGAGATCTTTAAAAAGCTGCCTTTCTCCAGATACCCCTTGTAGGGAACATAAGTTAACACACTGTGGCTGGATCATGAGAATTCTTGATTCACATTACACAGTATTTTACATAGTATCATGCTTTAAAAAAATATTAGCTTGTAAGAACATGTAATAAATAACTTCAAAATGCAATGGTATTTAATTGTAAAGCGTGCCTTTAACATTTATGTAAAATGTTTTTGTACTCGTTCAGCAGAAACTTATCTGGCCACTGGGTAAAGCTAGCAATAAAACCACAGGTCTACAATGTGTTAGCTTGTACCGGATCCGTACTCTAGGGCACAGTTCTGTGCTGGGGCAGCAGGGGCCATCCTGTGACTGTGAGGTGTGAAGCATCCTACCTCCATGGCCCCACCCACCACATGGTAGTAACCCTCCCTTCCCCAGTTGTGACAAAAAAAAATGTGTCACATTGTCAAATGTCAAAACTGCCCCCAGTAGCAACCAATGATCTCATCTGAAGATAAATCGTACCCAACGTCAGGAGAAAAGTCTGTGCCGAGTCCAGATTCAATTAAGGCTTTGTAGAAGGGGGAGTTGGGCCCGCCGATCAAGAGTGAAGACAGAAAGTTTAATGTGAAGGCTTCGAATGTGTCAGTGATCCTTCATTTTAAGAGGGACGGGGGTAGGGAGTTGAAGAGAAAAAGAGAAAACCATTGTCCCTTATGTTTTCAAAATCATTATAATCAGTATTACATTTACACTTTCTTCCAAAGTTGAACTTCTAGTAGAAATTCTTGCATTCCAACCTCTATTTTAATAGTTATATCAGCAAAAGAGAGTAATTATACTAGGACTTTTTTGGGAGTCCAAACCATAGAGTCAGTTTAGCTGCATACTGAATGCTACTGCAGGAGGGTGTGCAAGCACTCTGACACAGTACTACTTCAATTCGAACCGCACTGTCACACCACATGGCAGACAAGACACTGCGGAGATGGGGCAACTCTGTCAGCCTTGAAGCTTCTGAGGGCAGACAACCCTGATGGGTGGGGTGAGGCAGGGTTCCTTGCTGCCCACACCCTTCAGCAGCGTTCACAGTGCTCTTCTCACACTCAGTCACCTGTGACCCCAATGGTAACGACTTCTGTTCTGAGCCCATTTTTTTCTCTAGAACTGAGCTTTAAAATGCAGTGAGGAAGAAGTTACTTTCCTTCAGAACAGCTACTCAGGGATTTCCCCTCAAACTATTCTATACATTGTCAGAAACCCCACTGACATCCAAGACCTGCCTGCTGTAACCCTGAACCCTAACCACCCAACCATTCATTCCTGACTAGAGAACTAAATCTGACCCTGCTCACCTGCGTCTCCTACTTCCACATGGATACTTACTCTGGTAAGAGGAAGCTGACACTGACGGTTGTTTGTTTAGAGGAACTTGCGGCCATTGAGTCCGGAGCACAGGTGATCTGAAATTCCCTCTGTAAAACCATGAAGTAGGCACAGCATGTGAATGAATGGGTTTAAACTAGTATAGATTACCTAGAGGAATAAAATGGTCCAAGAGATTCTTTTCATTAAATTAACTTTGTTTTAAAACAAAAACAGTAACTTGTATGCATGCATATTAGCATAACCAATGGACCCAGACACGGGCAGTGGGAGCTTGCCCTTGGGGGTGGGAATGCCCGGGGGGAGGGGGCATCAATCAGGGAAAAAGGAGAAAAACTTTTGACAAAAAAAATACAGCAAATACTCAATTTTGCAGACCTCAACTTAATGGACTTCAGACTTAACCCACAAAATTACAGGTCTGCATGTCATATGTGAAAATTAACACCCAGTTGATTTTAAAATGATTTTAACCAAGATTTGCTTATAGGTAATTAAATTAATAGGTTATTTTTTGTTATTAATTCACTGTTATTTTTAACAAATTTTAGCGAATAGGTCATATGTTGGAAAAAACACTGTAGTAATTTCACTGACATAAATACTACATGTCTACAACTATAGTCTACATAATTAAATTCAAGAGCCACTGCTTCTAAATTTTCGGGAAAGGATTAGCACGTGATCACACTACTTCATGCTCATGGTGAGTCTTTCTGCAGCAGTTTTAATTCATGTGGCAGATGCTCTGATGTGCACTAAGCCACGCCTCAACCGTTTACTGGAGATGACAGGTGAGTGTTCGCATTTACTAGACCTATTCAGTATAAATTTAAAATGACAGTAATACATATAGAAGACTTTTCTATGAAATTAAACTTTTCATGCATAATTTTAATTACACAAATGCGTCCACATAAGTAAAAACAGGTAAACTAATTAATTTGCCAATTTTTTAAGGTATGCATTTGGAAAACCTACCTTATTATATAACGGACTTTCAGCTTTAATGGACACCCCTCGCCTGAATTAGTCTGTTATAATGAGGCTTTGCTGTAACCATCTTCAGGTTTGAGAAGAGCTCACAACCACATTTTAAATCCCGTTATCAACACACAATTGGAGTCTTTGTCTCCACATACTAACAGGCTGGTAAAACACTGATTATCCTCTGGGCAGCACTCACCGGCTTATCCCAAGGCTTCTGAGGCGGCACGGTGGTGCGTGGCTCAATTTTCTGAAATTTACTCAGAGCCTCTTCATGAATTTGTTCCAGATGCTGTTCTAGCGGAAAATTACCATAAGTAAAGAACCTAAAAATTTGAGAGAATATATTAGTCTATTTTACTTTAAAAGATTAGAAATCAGCACAGATGGCCTTTTTATATACATACACACATATACATATATTAGCTGATAACAAGAGGCTTCCAAGTGGAAATGAACTTTATAGAGGAACACTTTTTTTTTTACACTTAGTTTAACTATAAACATCAAACAGACGCTTTTACTCTTTTTATAAATAGGTGGCTCAAACCAAATAAAAGTTGTACAGGAAGAATTAAATGTAAATTTGGTAATAACTGCTCATCGTTTTAAATCTACTCTAATGGTGATACAAAAACCAAATAAGTTTTATGTTAAACTACTTTGTGACCTTGGCTACAGTAACACAATAATCCATATAAGACTGAAAGATAAAGAGTTTCACAAAGTTCAATTTTAGGCTACAAATTTCAGATTACACGTTTTGAAACCAACACATTTATTCAGCCAGGGGGAAAGGGTTATAATCATAAAGTTGATCTTCTTCTTTAATATAATGTTGGTTACGGTTAAAATTTTGGGAATGAGCCCTAGCTTGTTTGGCTCAATGGATAGAGCATCGACCTGCAGACCAAAGGGTCCTGGGTTCAATTCCGGTCCAGGGCACATATCTTAGTTGCAGGCTCCTCCCTGGCACTGGCCCTGGTCAGGGTGCATGCAGGAGGCAACTAATTGATGTGTTTCTCTCACACTGATGTTCCTCTCTGTCTTTCCCTCTCTCTAAAAGATCAATGGAAAAATATCCTCAGGTGAGGATTAACAATAAATAAATAAATAAATAAAAACATTTGGGAAATGAGTATCTAAAAGATCCTTAAAAAATTTCCACTCAAACAGTAGCGCCGTGCAGACACGAGTCTATAAATGTCTGTCCCCATGAGTCACAGGCCACCTTGGGAAATGACTAGCTGCACACCTGGAGCAGGAAGAGCCTGGGTTTGGGTGGGGGGACAGAAAACAAAGTTACTGAAGACTGAAACTGTCCGACAGGATAAGCTTGAGGGAGCTCCTTGGGCCATACTTGGGACATGTGAACATAAAAAGATTAATTAAAAAATCCATGTGATCTCACACCTCAGATATACACATATATAAAAATATGTGTATGAGTATAATGATATTAAAAAATAAAACAAAACAAACAAGGCTAGAAAGAAAAGGGTATCTTTATTGGAAGAGCAACTGCCGCCATGCCTCTCCCCAAAACTGGACAGCCAAGGGAAACAAGCACCCTGCCTTTCCCCTCAGAATCCTGTCTTCAGGGTAACCCACAGCCCTGCGGATGGGGAAAGCTCTTCTGTACAGAAGCCCAGCTAATTCATGTAGAGTTATTAGTGAGAAAGCTTTACTAACTCTAATGAAGGAATTGCTCCAGGCAATAATCGTCAATGAATATGAGAACATGCACAGGTGAATGAGGAACTCAATGTCCACAAGGTGCTGGTTACCACCCCAGCCTACGCCTTGGTCTGGCAGGAACCAGCTTTACAGTGGGTATTGCTGTCACCGTGGGGACCCGCAACCAGCTGCAGCTTCCCCCGGTGTAAGCAGGTCCGAGACATCTGGACGCAGCAGGGATGCAGGCATCAACTATGAAGGCAACTGAGTCTTTGAAGCCAAGTCCCCTTTGGGAAACACAGGAACACATCCACCAATGCCACAGAAAGGCAATCAGATGCCCAGAAAGTTTTTAGAAAACCCCATTGGCATAAGTTTTGAGAAAATCCAGAGGCAACCTGCCTACTTTCTTCAGTTTCAATGAAAACAGAGGGGACACCATCCCACACAAAGGGTACTAAAAAGACATAATGATGATGAAAGGCAATTTGTGGGCCTCACTTAGGTCACAAATTTGGGGGACAACTGGAAAGTCTGAATTTGTGGTAGGTGGCTTTGAGCAAGTCTTTTATTTTCTTAAATGTGAAAATGGTATTATCTCATGTAAGAAAATATCTTCATATTTTAGGCTCAATAATCCACGTACTGAGGGTAAACCCTCATATCTGTAGTTCTCTTTATTAGCGTTTTAATTTTTAGTGATCTCTGAAATAAGCAATTTATCAAAAAATAAGTATCCAAGGTTTAATAACTACCACCGCCATTCCTGGGGCACCATTGGGACTGAGGCATGAAGCTATGGGCACCTGTCACTCCGCCCTATGAGGGTGGGTCCAGGCCCTCCTCCAGGTGGTGGGTAACCAACATGCGGGGCTGCAAGAGTGTCACTGCAGACCTTTAGACTGAGCGTCCAAGTAAATGAGAAAGGCAATTTATGAGTGAAGAACCTTGTCTCAATTTACTTGGCTCTTAAGCAAACATTTCCCTGATAAATGTGAGAGAAGCTTATCACTGTGTAAGAAAAAGCAAGTCAACTCATAATCCAACACCATCCAACCTTAAAAACAAAACATCACCTGGCATTACTGGGGTGATAATGCGTAGCATGGAACTGTTTAAGCTGCTCCCACGTGAGGTCTGGGATGCACAATGGGTCACCACCAGAGATCACCGCATACGTGTGGTCAGGAAGGAGGCGGTTCAGAAGGTGCTGTGAGAATATCCTCTCGTTATCTGTCTTCAAATTAAAAAAATACACATATATGTAGCATAGTACACACATTATTACAACACAGCAAGTTAACCACATCCTGGGAGCATGTACCTGTAACACCTCGCGAGTAAAACCGTCCCAATGATAAACAAGGGTGTCCACACATAGTGTTTAACAAAGCACCCGGTTCATTCATGATCTGCGCTCAGGACCCAGGGACCGCTCTTGGAAGAGAGGGTGCATCCACTTTGCAGTAGGCCCTGGGTGATGAACCACACAGGGGAGGCTGTGGGAAAGATGTCCTGGGCTCCCTCTGCCCACGAGCTGTATTGGCATTCCCATGGATATCCAGAGGGAAAGCAGTCATCCTAACTTGAGTTTTAACGTGTTTGAAAGAAATGATGCCCAAACTGAGAACTGAAGTTAAGACACAGCCGCCAGACAGCAAGGGAAAGGGAGCAGCACAGATCACACAAGCCATACCACAGGTCAGGGCCGGTCTCCAAAGTCAGGGGCTAAGACAGGGCCCAGGACAGAGGGTCTCAAACTGTCTGGCCACAGACCCTTCATTCTCCCAAACATTAGCGAGGTCCCCAAAGAGCTTCTGATGATTTGAGTTTCTTGATCATGTAGAGGTGTGTGTATACAATTTTTCTACATTAGAAATTAAAACTGAAACTGAAAACTATTTAATCATTAACTTAACCCACAAATACATGTTAACCAGTATTTTTTTAAAAATACTTTTCATACAAAACAAAAACCTGTTGAGAAAAATGACTCTGTTTTACAGATTTTACAAATCTCTTTAAAGTCCAGCTTCATGGAATGGAGCTGGCGTCTCTACCTGCTTCTGTGCTGACATCACACACCGTGCACCATGGTCTCGGGGAATTTCCTGCATGCTCAGCAGG